ACCTCGCAAGATGCTGGAAAGGCAGAAAATTATGTCTGGAAAAAATTTTACATCTAGGTGATTAAGAGAGGAGAGTCCCAGGATTTAAGATGGGGGGTCTTTTTTGGAGGGTGTGGAGGAGGGAATTTCCCAGGGGTTCCCAAGACCAGGAATGATAAGGGAAGAATTAAACTATACTTATTCTGGGCGAGTCTGGTCTGTTCAGGTTGGTCCAGTTGACTCCCTGGAGCTTATGAAAAAAAGGTTTAAAAAGAAATAAATTTTAGACATATTAAAAGTTTATGATTACGACGATAGAATGGAAGATGGGGGGGGTTAAGAAGAGGAAGTTATAGAAAAGGATGAACAACCATAGATCCTGTTGTAGCTCTCAGCTACTGCTCCAGCACCACTCCTGCCTGCCACGATGCTTCCTTCCGCGATGATAATGGACTGAACCCCTGAAACTGTAAGCCAACCTCCATCACATGCTTTCTTCTGCTATAGTTGCCTTGGTCATCATCTCTTCACAGCGACAGATTTGCTTAGTGGTTAGAAGCACTTTCTGCTTGTGCAGAGGACTTGAGGTCAATTCCCTGCAGCCATGGCCAGGCAGCTCAAACCACCTGTGACTCCAGATCCTATGCTGCTGTCGTGGCCACCTGTCATATGTGGCATGTACTCACACAGATACACACACACACCAGACACACACACACACACTCACACAGATACACATATACACACAATTTTTTAAATACCCTGACAAAAGCTACTGAAGAAGGGTTTCCTTTTTTTTTGTATATATATTTATTTATTTATTATATATACAATATTCTGTCTGTGTGTATGCCTGCAGGCCAGAAGAGGGCACCAGACCCCATTAAAGATGGTTGTGAGCCACCATGTGGTTGCTGGGAATTAAACTCAGGACCTTTGGAAGAGCAGGCAATGCTCTTAACCTCTGAGCCATCTCTCCAGCCCCAAGAAGGGTTTCCTTTAACGGTTGAAGGTTCTGTCCCTCATGACAGGAAGCCAAGGCAGCAGGAGCTTCAGCAGCTGGTGACAGCACATCCACAGTCAGGAAGCAGAGGGGGATGGGTGCACGCTGCTCCTTATCTCCCTTTCTCCATTTACCTAGTCCAGGATCCAATCTAGGGAATGACTCCACTCACAGTGGTCAGGTCTTTCCACCTCCATTAGGGCAGTCAAGATAACCTCCCAAACAAGGCTGTCTCTTGTGTGACTCTAGATTCTGTCAAGGTGACAACAGTTATCATCACAAGGTGGGAAAACCCACCCTAAATGGAGGCCGTGTCATACCGTGGGCTGAGAGCCCAGGCTGTCTAAACGGGGAAGTGAGCTGAGCACCAGAACTTACCATTATCTTCTTGCTGACTGACTGTGGATACAAAGTGGCCAGCTGCCTCCTACACCTGTCGCCTTCCTTGAGCTGTGGGGCTACCTCTGACACTGGGTGGAATTCAACTCCTTTAAGTGGCCTTTGTTAGGTATTTTAACACAGCAATAGGAGAAGTAACTAACACAGAAGGTTACATTTTTACATAGCCTGGTTCCTTTTCCACTTTTTTTCTATAGCATGAAAATCTCCCTGGTTTTCAAAGATAGGATTTTCAGTTTTTATAAAGAGGCTCACCTGGTGGCCAAGCCATGGTTTATGTAACTGACCTGCAACTTCCAATAGGAATATACTCCTGGGCGGTCACTGAGCTGCTCCTAACAGATGGGCACTGCCCAAGCCTCCAGGTTTTTCCTGCCTACTTCCTAGGTATAGCTACAGTGAGTGGTATGACTGGGGTCAGGAGTACAAGTATTTTAGGGGCTCATGAAAAACCTGTTTAAATGAATTCCAGAGCTTGTGTCAATTGCTAGAGGAGAGACCCATGGCATTCTGTGTGGTTACACTGCATGTGTGTGTCTGCAGAATTTGGAAAGCCCAGGGAGAGAAGCGCGTCTTCCCTGGACTTGTATTTTGGTGTAACTTTGGCTTTTATAGTCTTGTTTATTAGCCATTTACGTGGATTTTTCTGAATTACTACTTTTTTGCCTTGAATCTCATTCTAAATTTGTTTCTTCTTTCTCCACTGGTTGACAATCCCTTACCCAAAATGTGTATGGTCAGAAGTGGTTTAGATAGCTTTTCCAGATTTGGGAATATTTGACTATACATAGTGATTGAGGATCTTGGAGACAAGACCCGAATATAAGCATAAGAAGTTTCATTTATTTATTTTCTTGTGCGTGTGGGTGCTTTGCCCTCACGTATGTATGTACCTGGTGCCTTCAGAGGCCAGAGGAGGGCTTTAGGTCCTCTGGAACTGGGGCTACAGATGGTTTGAAGTGTCTCATGGGTGCTGGGACTCGAACTCAAGTCCTCTTGAAGAGCAATTGGTGCTCTTAACTGCTGAGGCATCGCTCCCGGTCCTTGGTATGAAAGTTTTACATTTTTTTTTCTATTTCTAAGTACCTTATAAAGTAACCTAAAGTTAATTTTATACAATATTAAATAATTAGCATGTCTGTACTTTGACAGAGGCCTGGAACAAGAGGCAGGTGGCACACAAAAACTCTAGAAGTCTAGATTTTGGAAGGTTTCAGATTTTTAGGTTAGGAATTCTCATCCTGAGTTGACGTCTTTGTAATAATCACTTCTTACATCATAATGACGGAGATAGTGCCCTTCCTTCTCCTTAGAGTTTGAAATGAGCTGAGAAACTTCGCTGACCCAACCCCTCTGCTTCCTTTTCCCATTCTCCAGCCGCTGTGGCACCCTACGCCCTGGAGTCTTGTGTCCATCTGTATCACAGCTGTTTACATGTCTCTTTCCGCTTTAAGAATGAGCACTCACGGCTTATTTTTGTGGCATGGATTCCCAAGGAATATTTTCTGAATTAGACTGTTACATTATGACAGAAATTCACAGTCTTTTGTGAATATGGGCATATAAAGCAGACTCAGACTCGAAACGGGACTCAATAAAATGCCTAGAATTCAGCCCATTGATGTTGTGATTCCACTTTAAATAGTCACAAATGGCCGTTTCCTTCCCTTTCCTCGGATATGTTTCTAAGATCCTGAGTTCTTAGCAACATTGGCTAATAGACAAAGTTGTAGTGATAGCAAGGGTCATAATTGATTCGTGATAATGAAATAAACACATTAAATATTGAACTTGGGACAAGCGTTGTAATTGTCAAATGTTTAATTTCCTGTTGTTTCCACCAAAATCATTTACTGTACCTGTAATCAACATAGCGTAAGTTTATGTAAGTCTCAGGTATTATATTATTATTATTATTAGGGTTTTTCCAGATAGAGTTTTCCTGTATAGCCCTGAATATCATGGAAGTAGTTCTGTACACCAGGCTGGTCTCAAACTCAGAGATCCATCTGTCTTTGCCTCCCAAGTGCTGAAACTAAAGGTGTGTACCACCATGCCTGGCAAGAATTCCCAAATTTTAAAATTTAATTCCCATTCAAAATATAAATAGGAAAAAAATTAACTATTTGGAAAACTTTTTGATTCCCACCAATGAGGTCATAAAATAACAACTTGAAAAGTTTTATGAGAATTATTTTGGGGCGAGGGGTATTGAGTCATTTTTCTAGGTAGCCCGGGCTGGCCTGAAATTGTCAGCCCTCACTTAACCTTCCAGGAACTGGGGATTACCAAGAAGTTTTAAAGATTGCATTGGACGCAGAAAACAAACATTTAGACTAATTTTTATTGCTTCTGTGCATCACATTTATGCGGTTCTCCTGAGAGCCAGAAGGGGGTGCTGGAGTCCCTGGTGTTGAGGGTGGTTGTGCCTTGTCAGATGTGGATGCTGGAAACCCAACCCTGTCCTTTTCAAGAGCAGTAAGCACTCTTAACCAGTTAGTATCTCATTTCTAGTACTTACAGGAAACTTTACCAACATCCTTTTATTAATAGCCGATCAAGTTGATTTTTACACCCCACCTTTTCTTGGTTGGTTTTGGTTTGGATTCTTTTGTCTTCCACTCCCACCCCATTCTGCTTTGTTCTTCACACATTCCAGATGATTTCCTGGACGTCAAAGTAGAAACCCTGTTTCCTGTTTCTTGAGTGCCTTCCCCCTCTTGGCCCGTCTGCATCGTGCTGCTTGCCTTGAGGTTCTACAGCATTTAGAAACTCCGCAATACTGTGAATGCATCCAGAGAGCAGAACGAACCACCGGGGCTTTCTTTCTGTAACTACAAAAACATCTGTGACAGTGGCTGGGACAGCGCGCTTTTGAAGGGCACTTTAAGCACCTTGTGATTGAAATCACCTTTCCAGGAATGTCACGCACCTGGCCTTTGTTCGCTTCCCAACCGTCCTCCCTCCTTTAAAGTTTCACGATTCTATTTTGTTTAAAAGGTCTGCTCAGACCCTTGCTAACACCTGCGTGAAATGCCAAGTGCATGTGCGGGTTGCTGCGTGTGCACAATTGCAGCGGTAGTCGGCCCTGGTGCCTGGCATCCACGGTCTGCACACCTCTGTCTTGGGAGCGCTGGATGTGATCTTGGAAGGGGCTTCCGGGCTCAACGAGTGAAAGAGTCACAGCCTCACTCTAAGCATGGGGCGGAGGGGGGCAGAAGAGGTGAGGAGGGCACTAGGGTGCTCGGGCTTCCTCCCTCATCCTCTTTTTGCTGAACGAAACAGGAGGGCGATTTCCAGGGCAGGAGGCCGAGGTTGCTCAGGCCTTTTCTGCGCGGGGACGCAACAAGGTTCGTGAGCTGGGCAAGCGCCGCCAGGCCACTGGGCTGGCTTTGTTGTCCACGCGGGAGACTTCCCGATCCCATCTGAATCCAACAGGAGGCCGAGCCGGACACTTCCTCACACCCATTGGAAGGAGAAGACGGTGACTCAGGTTACACGGGTCCGAGCTGCCCTCCCCACAGCTAAGTCGTAGCTTTAAAAGGAAGTGACATGGGTGGGGAGAGACGTCAGCCGAGGACCACCTTTTTTTCCCCTCCCCGAAGGGTCCACCCCTTTGGGTGGAGTCTCGCTTTTTCTTTCGCGTGTTGGCTGACTTACAGCTTCTCTAAAGTAGAGGCAGTTTCTGAACCCTAGGCAGCTGCCTCGCAGTTCTAGCTGGTGAGCGCCAATGCACAGCGCTCCCGGGAACGAGGTAGGTGGTGTCCCTGCGATTTCCAGGCACCTTCTCCTGGGGTGGGGCGTGCAATGGTCAGATGCCCTTCTCTAGCAGGGTTTCCTCAGCTCGGCAGGTTTTCCTCAGACTTTGGAAGGGATGGGCTCGGGGCAGGCTGGGAGACTGGTGTGGAGGTGGTGAATGATGCCGGATGGGGAGCGGGGTACAGGGGCTCCGCCGAGGACCACTGCTTTGTCCCGGGTGGTGAGGTGCCTTTTGGGGCTCTGCGAGCACCCCTCCCAGGGTGGAAGCGTTTGTTTGGCTACCAGTGAAGCTGTAGAGAATCTTCAATACGGGCTCTCTTTTGTGTTCGTGCAACACGTTCTTCTGTCTCTGGTGTTTCTATGGCAACCACAAAAATATACTCCACAAAATACAGTCCCGATCTAAATTGATTTATTTGTATTTCCTTCCTGGTCTTGGCCTGGCTGGGCCCCGCTGGAGCGCAGCATGACTCTGTAGATACCCCCTCCTCGTTTTCGTTTTGGTTTTTCCCTATCGCAGAAGGGCTGGGGGAGGGGAGTTGTCAAGGAAACAGGCATTTGTAATCACCGCGGTATTTACTTAATTTTATGCTATTTTATGCTTCTGGGTTCTCCATCAGATGTCGAGATTTTTAAAGGGTGTGCGGTTGATGTTTATGACGCTTTCCGGCGTTTGGGGTAGTTTTAAAAAACTTCAGTATTTCTTAAGACGTGCTACTGGACAAGCTAAGAGTGGAAGGAGGGTTTAACTCTTTACAGGCCGGGAGGACTTTGAAATAAAGTTTCGGAAAGTACCTGAGAATTCACAATGGTAAATACGTTATCAGCTGCGCAGGCTTGCCCACAAGTCTAAACATGTATGAGTCTTGGCTCTGCTCTGAACTTCATTTAGCCACAAATCAAAGTGCGGTTAGTGTAAGGCATGTTAACTACCTAGCAGGATCCCTAGTGACTTCCTGCTTGGATCTGGCCTCAGTTACCCAGTATGTGTTACCCAGTGTTCACCCTCCAGTCTTCCCAAACCTGGAAGGATCTGTTCATCTGAAGAGTAATCAGCCAGCATCCTCAGCTAGTAAAAAAGTTACCTTAAGAGAAGGGAAACCGAGCATGCGTGTCTCTGTGTGTAGGAGGCAGGCTCCAGTGCACATGTGTCTCTGTGTAGGAGGCAGGCTCCAGTGCACATGTGTCTCTGTGTGTAGGAGGCAGGCTCCAGTGCACATGTGTCTCTGTGTGTAGGAGGCAGGCTCCAGTGCACATGTGTCTCTGTGTGTAGGAGGCAGGCTCCAGTGCACATGTGTCTCTGTGTAGGAGGCAGGCTCCAGTGTACATGTGTCTCTGTGTGTAGGAGGCAGGCTCCAGTGTACATGTGTCTCTGTGTGTAGGAGGCAGGCTCCAGTGCACATGTGTCTCTGTGTGTAGGAGGCAGGCTCCAGTGCACATGTGTCTCTGTGTGTAGGAGGCAGGCTCCAGTGCACATGTGTCTCTGTGTGTAGGAGGCAGGCTCCAGTGCACATGTGTCTCTGTGTGTAGGAGGCAGGCTACAGTGTAGGTGTGTCTCTGTGTGTTGGAGGCAGGCTCCAGGGCATGCGTGTTCAGTGCACATGTGTCTCTGTGTGTAGGAGGCAGGCTACAGTGTATGTGTGTCTCTGTACAAAGTGGGGAGGTGGGGGATGGGTGGGATGGGGGCAGGGTTCCTGTTTGAAAAAAAAAATCAGGAGTCCCAAGTTAAAAGCAGGATATCCTTCTGATCCACCTGGGGAGATAAACAAACCTTCAGAAGAAAACTAAGATGTGAGAGAAAATTACCACCTACCTAGTGCTAACCAGGAGTAAATAGTTCATTGCCCCCAGGCAGGCCCATTAGCAGGTGTGGCTTGAGTTGCAACCTTTCTTCAGTCCCTCAGAAGAAAGCCTTGGTGAAGTCTTGCTGACACCAGAATTATCTCTTTAATGGCACTGAGTAGAGTCCTGAATTCCTGAGGTTGTCTGTAGGTAGAATTTCAAAGGCCTCCTGATACCTCCGGCTACGAAAGCCCAAACTGTGGCTTTGAACCCCAGTCCGCTGACTACGGGGAATCAGGAAGGACCAGGGGTTTCTTGAATGTTCCTTATCTAACTTCTGTTACCTCTGTCTGAAAAGTTGACCCTATAGCGCCAGAGGTCTTAGGCATTTCAGATAGAGAAGTTCTCAGCCAATGGGAGCTGAGCAGCACAGCACAAAGTCAGAGGGCTGGGTTTGTTGCTCAGTGGTAGAAAACTTGCCTAACATCCTTAGGAGCCGTCAAAACGAACAAATCATCAAACTAGTGAAAAATGGGGTTAAAGACAAGTGAACTAGGTGACAGGTTCAGAGCATAAAAACATCTGCTTTCCTTTTGCCAAGCACAAGTTAGCATACTGCCTGACAGTGGGCTTGCCATGGCCTTCCATAGCCTGTCCCTCTTGAGTTTCCAGACCCAGGAATTTCACAGCAAAAACCCAAATCAGAGAGGAAGCAGCAAACACCTAAACAGACAAAACCCCTCTCTGATATCCAGGTAGAGAGGGACACGTCTGACCTGTGGAAGACAGGTGGAGCTTTGTGGGAAGCAAGGTACCCCAGGATGACCCCCAGAAGGCCAGCCTGTGCTTGGAACCTGGGGTGGGGGTGGGGGAGAAGTGGGGTGGCATCTTGATCATCCATCCGGGCCATTGCTTTAAATCACGAATGTTCGGAACTGGAATTGGCTAAGGTAACATTGTAGCACCTACTGTGTACTGAAGGGAGATCTAGTGGCAGAGGCAGGTGGATCTCTGTGAGTTCAAGGCCAGCCTGGTCTACAAGAGATCTAGTGGCAGGGGAGAAAAGTCATGCGTGTTTCTGAGTGACTCTTGATGGGTGATGGCTAAGCCTGCTCAGTCATCCTCTGACACTGGGAGACGGAGACCCTGTGTCAGTCCAGCTCAGCAGTTTTCATCCGCACTGAGTCAGTTTGGAAAGCTAGCGTTAGACCAGGAGATTCCATTTTCTGGGGACGGCAAGCCAGGGCTGTGGGGAAAAGGGGTTCCTGCTCAGCCTCTCTTGGGATGTGTAACTATTGTGTGTCTCCTGTGTGTCAGGGGCTATGGACACATCAAGTTAAGCGTTACAGTTTTAAATCATGCGAGGAGAATTTTAAGAGAGTTTAAAGGCTGACCAATCTCTTTTTTTTTCTTCTAATGGCAAAATAAGAGAAAATACCATAAAATGAGAGTGATTTTTGTTGATGCTGCTTCTACCCTACCCAAGAATGCACTCTTGTATCACAGAGATTTCTTGTCTGTTTTCTCATTCTTTTAATTCGTTCTAGTACCTTCCTGGACCCTGAGCCCTGTTAGTGCCCATTGACTCATCCACTTTTGTACATACGTCCACCCGTGTCCGTTGTCCAGCGGCCCTTCATATAGTCGTTCATACATAGCATGTTGCAGCACTGTGTGTTCTGGGTACGTGCTCAGGAGCTGGCGCATGGAAAGCACCCTCACCCTGAGATACTGATAGAAACACCCACTAGCTGGTGACCCAGACTGTTGTTTCCACAATTTTTTTTTTTTTTTTTTGGTTTTTCGAGACAGGGTTTCTCTGTGGTTTTGGAGCCTGTCCTGGAACTAGCTCTTGTAGACCAGGCTGGTCTGGAACTCACAGAGATCCGCCTGCCTCTGCCACAATTATTTTTTATACATGTAGGTTGCACTGGGCAGTGGGGGAGGAAGTGGTCAGCTGTTGACTGACTTGCCTCGCTATCTCTATTGGTTGAACACAAGGCTGGGAATCTTCTGTTAATTAACCTAAACAAGAGGGAGTGGGACCCTGAATGAGGCCGTGCGGAGCAGATAGTGTTGCTGCCTGGGGACTGTGGCTCTTCCCGGCAGGTACAGAATATAGTTTGCTGTTTTGTTTTTGGATCTCTCATGTTCTTTGGAGCTAGCTCATGTGGAGCCAATAGAAACCAGAGACCCCTCATCATCACCTCAGGCAGGCAGTAGCCACAGCAGCTCACCTCCAGACCCTGGAACATCAAACAGCCTCCTGCTACCTCAATGTATTTCCTGGGGTCAGAGATTTTCTCAGCAGACTGATCTTACCCTACAGTCGTCACCTCTGCCTGGAAGTGACTTGGCGTCCTGACAAAAGATTCCCAGGAAAAACACCCTCTTTTGCGTGCCTGTTTGACCTTGGGAGGAAACTTTTTGCGAGTCTCCCCGATTTCTTTGATTTCTTTGTTATTTTAATCTCTGAGGAGATTAGCCTCAAAGGAATCTGCTGTCCCTCCCCTGGGTTAGACAGTCACCTAAAGAAGAGTTAGGGAATTTGGAGAACTGTTCCGGCCTCCCTCAGTTTGGGTGTGACTGGTGACCTGCAGAGACACTGACGGACTGGCCACTGGTCGTTGTGTAGAATCCCTGAAAACGCTAGGGGCCCCTCTTTGTTGAGGGCTTCCTTTATGTCAGCTGATTGGTGGACTTCACAGGGAATCAAGTTTGCTTTGTGCTCGTAACAAATTTGCATGTAAAATCTATTGTCACTGCCCATTGTTCAAACACAGACTAGTAAAGGGACTCCTCTGGGACTATGACTAGCTACACTGGGGTTTGAACTCTCACTTCCCAGAATCTTGCCTTGGAGTGACCAAAGAGGCCTCCTCTCCTGGTCTGATGACTTCTTTCTCTGTGTCCTAGTCCCAAGTACACAGCCTAGAGCCCTGGTTCTCAACCTTCCTAATGCTGCGACCCTTTAATGCATACAGTTCCTCATGCTGCAGTGACCCCAACCATACAATTATTTTCACTGCTACTTCGTAACTGTAATTTTGCTACCATTATGAATCATAATGTAAAATATTTTCAGAGATGGAGGTTTGCCAAAGGGGTTGAGACCCACAGGTTGAGAACCACTGGCCTAGAAGACAATGGACCTGAGGGACTTTATTTATTTATTTTTATTTGTTCTTGTGGGGTGAGGAGGCTTAAGGGGGA